GTCTGACATGTTCTAAACATTAAATTTTTCTTGAACCTTTCCACGTGCCCTCTAATAGTCAAGGAAATCAGTAAATAATGTACTGTGAATTTAAATGCTACTTCCTGTATTTATGTGTCAACAGTTTGTGGTTACAAGCAAGAACTACCACTGTTCAGGCGTTGGAAAACTTTCAATGCTAATAACCAACCATAAATGGATAAACACTCTCATTAGAGGTCATTGCTCCTCATTATGTTTCAATTCCTCTAGAAAGCAATTAGACACCACTGTTCTGTCATTACTGAGACCAGTCTGGACAGCACCTGGAGAATAGAGGCATATGAAAACAGTAATGACCTCCCTTTGGAGAATCCTAATGTAACTATGACGAAACTGCGTCCAAATTCAAAGCAATAATGAGTTCAGGTGTTTATTTCTGTGTAAGTGATCTAACTGGTCTCCACCTACCAACCAACCATACTTACAGTAGACCTTTGTTTGTATTTCATCAACATTTACAATTCTTTAAGACAGCCACTGTTTTATTTTATTTCACATAAAAGGTGTGTTTCAATCTTATGGGCTGCATCCTTCAGACTGTAAATAGGAAGTTTCATTTTGTAGGCTCCTTCAATTGTGGCTGACAAATAAGTCCTTTCATCCTTGAGAAACAAATGGTCAAACGGGTGGATCTTCTCCAGCCCAACCTCTCCAGGATTTATTGTGCTTCAGTGATGAACCGTTTTTCAAAGCGGTAATAACTTCCTAAAACAGCTAATGGAACATGTGTTACAAAACCAAGGGGCATTAAAACCCACTTGTCATGTCCAACTGCAGCTCTGTTGTTAGGCAGATCCTCTCATTTCAGTTTGGCCTTTGTGATCTATGCAACCCATGAAGAATTGACTTGAATTGAATGAATGAATAGGACTCATGGAGTTTAGTAGTAGCCCTCTGTTTACATGAGAACAATTGAAGTTGATATAACCCAAATACGCTGCGGAATAATTTATGTTTATTCGGGTTAATTGTGTGTAATGCACGAATAAACACAAACAGGAAGTGTTCCCCTGTTCTCCCCTGGAAGAGAGGAGAACTACTGGCTGAAGCTGCTGCGGAGAATGTTTTGTGGAAACACCAGAGAAGCCAGAGCTGTTGTACTGCTTGTGTGTGAGTCCACAACCCCATCATAACATTGGGCACAAAGGGAGTAAATTAAGCAAGTAGGGCGGATGTACTGTTTTCTATTGATTTCTTAAGAGAACGAACTAAGACTTTATGAGAGAATTATTTTTATGCTTTACATTTCTATACCGTAGAAACTCGCGGGACTTATGGCAAGGTATCTAATCCCACCTGGAATTGTGGACTAGTGTTTTACAAATGATGTACAACTCCATTCAAATACAGCTCCACAAGTTTAGAGTGTCTTTTAACAACAATTAAAATGATGAGTCAGTGTGTAAAGCTGGTCTTGGTCCTCTCATCCGCAATACATCTTCCTCTACTTCAGCAGGTCTCGAATTTGGCATTCTGATGTCTCTTTGGCTGTCTGTTGTAGGGTTGGACATGTTGTTTATAAGTCCTCTTCTAATCACTGGCCACAGCCCTCAAGTTAGCAGACTCATTGGGGGCCAATATATAGTGCGGACTGCTGTGGCTATGTCAACAGTTGTCTCCCACTTAATCAATATGCTAATGCAAATTAGGTTATATACTCAAAAAGTAAGTGATAATAATGTGGCAGTGGCTTTTGTTGAGTGTTGAGGGAGAACTCAGACATTTTACTAAAGTAAAAACAAATTTGAAAGAATTATGTTTAGGTGTTCCTGAGATATTACATTCAGAATGCTAAACAAGTGAATTGTACCACATGTAATGACATTTCCTACAGGTAGTCCTGATATATCACATTTACAGGAACATGAGACCATTGTGACCTTGACATTTGACCTTTAGCTTCCTTAGGCATATAAGGCATAGTGTGGTATAGTTAGACTGGTCAAAGGATTCAAACTGGCGCTGGTGCTGCTTTTACAAGCCTCTCTTTCTCTCTCTAGCCAGAGAGATAGAAAACAAAATATATGTAGTTAATTAAATACATTTGTTTTCAAAGAAGGAATGCCAGTGACTCAGTTAGTCTTACTCCTCATATGTTAGGACAGTCACCTGAGAATAATTTGTCTTGGATGTTTCTGCCAGGTGCCCAGATGAAGACTGACAAAACTGCTTCTCACTAACAACTCTACCACAAAACTAGTAATTTACATAACACAAATCCAAATACTCAATCAATTACACAACCCAGGAAGCAATAATATGTTGTAATATTGAGTAGGCGAGAAGCCTACTGTTGCTGAGATCCGATAGAGAACATGCTGCTTAATGTAGAAAAAGCTGCCCACTATGCTTATGGCCTCAGTCCCAGGGAGCAGTTAGCATTAAGGATGTGCATGTGTTTTAAATTAGCTGCAAAGAGCATGTTCGCCTCATGACAACATTCACAGCACAAGCTGGGCTCAGTAATGCTGTTTTCTTAAATGTGATTTAGAAAAGCATGTTCTCTCACAGACGATAATAACTCTGTAATATAGACCCTAGTGACCAGTGTGATGTTTCCTATTATATTCACTCCTCCCCTCTGACCAAATTACAAAAAGTCCTCGGCCAAATCCTCATTTCGGAGCAGCACTTTCAGACGCAACGATGTCTTGCTATCGTGTGGTGGTTTTTGTGCTTTTTGTTGTCTTACTGCTGAATGGTAAGTCTTGATTTGTTGATGCAGTTATTTTCTAATTTTAACCTTTAATCAAATGTAAAAAGACAGCCCATGTTGCCTGTGTTCTCAAATCTCTAAATCACATGTCATCATGTGACAGGATTGATTTTATTTGTTTGTTTTAAAATCTTATAATGGTACTGCTCCCAAACACCTAACAGACAGTTAGTCCAATACCACCCTGTGAGACCTCTGACATCACTTAGGGGGTGGTCTGCTAGTGCTACCCAAGTCAAATTTAAATCTAAATGCCCCATCCATTGCAGTTTTTAAAACCAGATAGATTTTTTTATTCACAAGCGCCTTTACCTAAGCTATTGTACACAGTCTTACCATTATTGTA